AACATTAAAGTGAGGCCAAAATTATTTGTTTCAGACTTAACGAATAAGTTATGTATAAACTGAACTTTGGTCGTTATCCACTAAATAACATGGACACATGGACCTTCATTTGCCACAGTGGGCTCAGACCCGTGAAGATCCGGGGTAGAATAGGTCTTCAGGAACCCCATTCGTGACCAACTCGTGTTATTCCGGGACAAGCCGAATATGTGGTGACGAATGCAGCAACCCATGGTTGCCGTAAAAGGCGACTATGCTTGTCGTAAGAGGCGACTGACTTGGTTGGTGAATGTCATCGTATCCCAATTGCGTGGATCGATGCTCATGATGTCAATCACTGGATTGTCTGGTCCCGACTCGAATATTTACAGACCGCCGTCATATAGCTGGAATATTGCTGAGTGCGGCGTAAAACAACAACAAACACATCACAATGGGCTTCAAGAAAAATATGTATTTGAATTATAGTTTCCTGTTCGTTGCTTTATTTAACGGGATGTACGTGTGTTTGTAGTGCAACAGTATGTATCTCATCAACCTTTCCGTGACCTTTCCTCTCCTTCATTCCACAAGAGAAGACAAGCAAGGGGTACCATATCCTATTTTGCCACTTATTCCTTAAAGGGAGACAATGAGGGGGTACTGGGATCCTATTCTTCGTATTCCTCAATAGGAGACGCTCATTAAGTACTGGGATATATTCTACCTCGTATTCCTCAATAGGTGACGCTCATTAGGTACTGGGATCTATTCTACCTCGTATTCCTCAAGAGGAGACGCTCATTAAGTACTGGGATCTATTCTACCTCGTATTCCTCGATAGGAGACGATCATTAAGTACTGGGAATCTATTCTTCCTCGTATTCCTCAATAGGAGACGATCATTAAGTACTGGGATCTATTCTTCCTCGTATTCCTCAATGGGAGACGCTCATTAAGTACTGGGGTCTATTCTTCCTCGTATTCTTCAATAGGAGACGCTCATTAAGTACTGGGATCTATTCTTCCCCGTATTCCTCAACAGGAGACGTTCATTAAGTAGTGGAGATCTATTCTTCCTCGTATTCCTCAATAGGAGACGCTCATTTAGTACTCGGATCTATTCTACCCCGTATTCCTCAATGCGAGACGATCATCAAGTGCTGAGATCTAGTCTTCCCCGTATTCCTCAATAGGAAACGCTCATCAAGTACTGGGATCTATTCTTCCTCGTATTCTTCAATAGGAGACGCTCATTATGTACTGGGATCTATTCTGCCTCGTATTCCTCAATGGGTGTCAAACAAAACACGTTTTATGATGTCAAAGAACACAACACACCCGATACGGTACGACAGTTTATTCGGTACAAACACTTGGAGTATCCTTCACGTCCTACATCCTTCGTAAAGAACACTGAATCTGTTTAGTGATGACTGGCTGCAGACCGACACAGATTATGTACAGACGTCAACATGGACACAACACATACAGTTAAGTCATTGTATTATCTTACATGTTACATACTTGAATGTGACGTTTTGATAAATTTCCATGTACCCTGCTTTGTCCTGCCGTGTACAACTAAAACTTGTATACCACGTCGCCATGGCAACAGACAGTTTGCCGATCTCTCCTTACAGCGAAACGGTATCGCATAATGTAACTTAACATGGACTTTGTTGCACGTGTTGTCTGGAGCTTACCAGTCAATATGGCGACAAACAAACACTTGTCCTATCAATCCTCATTCGTTTTAAAATTGTGGTACGAGACATGCGTGGTAGCTTTTCCTTCGGGGCATATGGTTTGACGAATCCTCTGAATGGACACAAAGAGGGTACATCATATTGTATTGCCCTCGTGATAGGCCTACATCTTATCAAATAACCATTTGGATTACTCCGGGAACTAGACTGAGAGAATTTTCCGTTTATATCACGAAATAAAAAATGGGTTGAAACTTTGTTGACACAAACTCGATGTAACTTCGACTTTCCCGCTTGCACAGTTTTGTTTGTTTGTTTGTTTATTTTTTTCGGTTTAACGCCACACTCAGCAATATTCCAGCTATTTGACGGCGGTCTGTAAATAATCGAATCTGGACCAGATAATCCAGTGATTGACATCATGAGCATCGATCCACGCAATTGAGATACGATGACATGTATCAGCCAAGCCAGCGAGCCTGACCATCCGATCCCGTTAGTCGCCTCTTACGAAAAGCACAGTCGCCTTTTACGACAAGCATTGGTTGCTGAAGACCTATGCACAAACAGGTTTACGCCACTGTGCTATTTGCAGCCACTACACACATATCCTAACTGGCAGTTGTAAAATGGTACCGTGTGCAGAAAGGGAATTCCACTGAAACGCATTATGGTCACGTGTTACTTTAGGCCCGCGACCTTTGGGTATCGGTCGATGGCTTCCTTGTTTGAGAGATGTTATACGAACATTTTTCGATATTGCCATGGAACTGACGCATTTCAGCTTTATTTCAAGTTAAAGAAAAGTGCATCCCCGCGTATCTAGTGTATTGTGTCTTTTTGTCTGTTACCGTAAATACCCTGGACCCATTCACCACAACAGCTGTGTTCCGTAAATGGCTTCACGAGCCCCCATCACTATCATATTTATCATAACAGTATGGAGATATCATGCAGTGGATAATCGAGGCTGAATAAAAAAAACCTTTGTGGGCGTTGGGCTAGGGCGATACTTCTAGCGACTAGAATTGTTATTGTCAAATACATCGAGTGGTCCTGCTCCAAGTTCCGAACTCATTCATACATAATATTCTAATCCAGTCCAGATATACAATCATATATGGTTCAATCCAAACATACTGTTGTTCCTCACAAAAGCAAAAGCTCTTGGTATCTATACAGAAAAAAACGCAGTTAACAACAGAATATATACCCTATGAATCCTTCTAGTTTCAGCAATTTATTGGCTCAAAGACGCACGAGGGATTAACAAACTGAATCCATGTTTTGGTCGATCGAATATTTAAAATTATTTTTTGCCGAAACGACTTTGGGCTACATAGAACGAAATGCACGTGCAAAAGTGCCGCATAAAACTGGTGATACGGCACGTTATGAGTGAGTGAGTATGGTTTTACGCCGCTTTTAGCAATATTCCAGCAATATCACAGCGGGGGACACCAGAAATGGGCTTCACACATTGTACCCATGTCGGGAATCGAACACGGGTCTTCGGCGTGACGAGCGAACGCTTTAACCACTAGGCTACTCGACCGCCCCGGCACGTTATGAACACATAACACAAGAGCACCCAGGAAATATGTCACGTTTAACCGCTTTACACAGAGAAGAGACTTTGGTATGGCGCAACATGGAGCCACGCACGCCGCCATTGCAAGGACGCTTGGATGCACCCGTGTCACCATCACCAGATTGATGCAACGTTTACAACAGACAGACAGACAGGCGTAAAAGCCCATTGAAGACCACCACATCCGGAACATTCATCTCCGAAACCGCTATATTACAGCGACGGCAACGACAGCGACGGCAACGACAGCGACGGCACTGGGACACAGAGTCACTCGACTGACATATATATATAAGAGTTAAACTGCGCCATGGTATCTCAGCGGGCTAGCCATATTATAAGAGTGAGTGAGTTTGTTGTGTTTAACGCCGCTTTTAACATTATTCCAGTTATATCACGGGGTCATGTTCTCCGATTAGAGTAGATATTGCTTTACAGAAATGATGGTCGGAAGCGAGTATACAGACGAGTAGGTGAACGTTTGGTGCCAAATTGTGTTCAACACGTTCAGCCACTTGGGGGCGGTATCTGCGGTGATGTCAAAACGAGGCTCGTTGTTATTTACGACACTCTGAATCGCCATCGGCAACATTCAGCAACAGCCAAGTGGCATTGTCCTCAGCAAGACAATGGGAGACCGCATACGGCAAGGCTCAAACAGAACTTTCTGAACAACGTGGCCATTCACGTTTTACCCTGGCCGGCATGTTCTCATGATATGAACCCTTTATGGGATCTCGTTGACCGAAAGATCAGAGGACGACCAACGGCTCCAGTCAACGTCAAGATCTGGAACAACGTCTCCTTGAATGGCAGCAGATTACTCCCAACGTCATCCGACGTTTGAGGTCATCGTGCGACGTCGTGTTCAGGCGTGCATTGATGCCCAATGTGGACATTCTCGGTATTAAGTTGGTTTTAAATGTGCTTTCGGAGTTTTTAAAGCCGTGTTCAACCATTGGTGTGACAGTGATATTGTGAAACTCACTTTTGACCGCCATGTGTCTTTGTGTCTCTGTCAGTAGTAACGTTTTTGTTCGGATACCATGAACAGTTTTACACATTACACAGCTGTAATGTACTATATACATATTGACTTTCTACATGCTTTTGATGTTCTTTCATAGTCTTTGAAACTCGTGGTATACTTTATTTTGGATATATGTTTTTATTAAATATTCTATTCGTTACACGGGATTACGGATCATTTGAATTATTTCTGCACTTTTTGCACATAAAAACAATTATTTCCCGATGGGCAGATCTGTAGTTCCGATTTGTGGAGTTATTCTGTAACTATGTAATCTGTATTGAACTATTATCGATATCAAACAATTACACGTTGAACCAATGGATCACACCCAAAGCATCAGACAAAACAAACATTCTCCAGAAACAAATATTTTCTTAACACCAACAACCAACATATATTACTTACAAACAAAAATAGAAATAGTGACATGTTTAACTAGCAATAACCTCACGTGACGTACATAAATATTATTACATAAGACAATAATATCTTCTACAAAGATATATCAGAACGGACATATCAATATCAATAGTACCTGATCGTTTCTAACATATACTGATGAACCGAAATAAGGGAACGGCACAAAAGTCCGTATTTACCCACAAGATAATGTGGTGACAGGGTGGTAATTTATACAGAAATAAAGATTTTTTTCGAAATAAAAAGGAGGTTGCGCACCCCCGCACCTCCCCCCCCCCCCCCCCTCTGTATCCGCCCATGTATTTTACTGTTTGTCTTAATAATGTCGATATGAAACATTTGTTACATGTTCCGTTATTTTATTTCATCAGTATGTGTATATATAACATACATTTAGTCACCTTTCTTCATGTTTCATTTCACAATCTCATTAAAATCAAATCTTAGTTCTCGATACCCATAAACAAATATCTCAGGACGTCCTATCACGTCGACGACCTTTCGCGAACTTTGACCGACCAATGAAAAGACAAACAAGAAGTCGATATTAGCCAATCAGAAAGCATGGAATGTCCTCAGATCTTTGTTTAGGGTCAGCAAGAATTCAGATCTGATTTTAATGAGAGTGTTCATTGTACGAAGCGAATTTTCTTTCCTTGTCTTGTAATCTAAACTGATGTGATGTTCCTGTTCGATTTTCAAGAATACATCATCCCCATAAAACACAATTCGTCAATTGAGTGATTTGACATGTGGAATCACCATTATCCATTCAAGTAATTGTTCGCAATCACAGTTTTTTCCACACTGTTGAAATATCAGTTTTTCACAACACACGATTGCCATGTAGATGTGAACCAATCACATTGCGCCAACTTTCAACCAATCAGACTGCTCCATGTCTAAGCCAATCACCACACGCCACACTTGTTGTCCGGATTCATTTTGGTTTTGGGACTGCATTTAAAGGCATCTCTGAAGTAGTCCGAATTTGACACTGTGCCGATAACCCTGAAACCATGGAAACGAGAGTGAGTGAGTGAAGGAGTGAAGGAAGGAGTGAGTGAGGGAAGGAGTGAGGGAAGGGGTGAGTGAGTGAGTGAGGGAAGGAGTGAGTGAGGGAAGGAGTGAGTGAGTGAGTGAGGGAAGGAGTGAGTGAGGGAAAGAGTGAGTGAGTGAGTGAGTGAGTGGGTGAGTGAGTGAGTGAGTGAGGGAAGCAGGGAGCGAGTAAGCCCTGAGTGAGGTGAAATGGGATTTAATGTTGCATTCAAGATTATTGTACTTATACAGACACGCGCATGCACATGTGTGAGGCTGCTTGTACTAGTCGGGGTTTATGCCCGTTAATATGGCTAGCCTGCTGAGATACCATGCCGCAGTTTAACATGAATACCCCACTCAGACACAGTATACTGACTCCGAGCCGATCAATCCTAGTTTTAGCCCCTTAATGCCGAGTAACAGGGACACAGGGTAACAAGTAGCACATTGTTGAAACTCACGAGCATTGGTGCAGTGATGACAAACCCAAAAACATGGCTAGGGCGACAAAAGGATCTGAACCCACGATAATACGTTTCTGGCACCACTAAGAGACGCTAAATGCGATGTATTAGACGACTTGGCTACTTCAAAACAAAAATATTACTGCTGATTGTCAATGTAGCGGCTGAGAAATTCCGTTCCGGGAAGGTATTTGGGCTCCACGCTCTGCTATACACACTCCTCCCTCCACAGTATAGGCCATATAGTAGGCTACTGAGGTTCAGTGGGCAGGTTCGAACCACGGACCTTCTGATCTGAGGTCGGACGCCTTGTCTGCCTAACCAATGAGGTAAGCCCTTCAGGGTTAAATGACCCCCCCCCCCCCCCCCCCCCCCCCCCCCCCCACCCCACACACACACACACACACACACACACACACACACACAAACACACACACACTTAAGATCCGGGGTAGAACTTGTCTCCAGCAATCCTTGCTTGTCGTAAGAAGCGACTAATGGGATTGGGTGGTCATTCGCAGTGATACATGTCATTGTATCTCAATTAATTAGATCGATGTTCGTGATGTCATCACTGGATTGCCTCGATTATTATCGCTTCAATTTTGTTGAGTGTGGCGTTAAACAACAATCAAACAGACATGTCAGCTCACACCTAATTAACCCACTCCCTCAATGACTGTCTCACCTGAACTTGGAGGGACTGTGGGGGTCGGTGATGATCTGGTTGTGAAGAGCCGCATCAGTGCTCAATGAACACCATCCCTGCAAATAAATTCACGTGGAGAAAGAATCAAGATGAGACACGCTTGGTTGTTTCGGAAGGGGCGTTAATGGCTATCTGGTGTGTGTGCACACAGGAGGGTCCAGGCTTCGGGGTGGGTGGGCCCGTTTTGAAAACCAAATGTGGTATGTTTTAGGCAGTAAGTGTATCTGAGAGTGACTTTTGATATTTTGGACCCCTCCCTATTAAAAATCCAGGATCCTCCCATGGTGCGCAGCTAGTAAGGTCAAAGAATGGAGAACATTTTTATTGCTGAATCCAATTTAGAGAAGATATTAATGCCACAATATTCGCCTCCCGTTACCTGAGCAAAGTTGACGAAGAACAGCTGCTCATGTGATAGTTCCAAACCCGGAAGTGGCGGTTCTTCTCCGTTTTCGGACACCCACTTCCGGTAAGCCTGAAACAGACCGTAACAATTCCATCAGTATCAATGTCATTCTTTACCGCTGGCCCCGTTCCGTAAACTGCCACAAGACTGACGTATCGATCGATCAACAAACTAATAAGATCTCTCGTATGGTTACTAGTCCTTTGGATGGGGGCACGGGTGGCCCAGTCGCCTAAGGCGCCGCGATTCACTGTGCAGAGTTGCGTCCTTTGAGCACGCAAGAAACCTTTGATTGTGGGTTCGAATCCCGGTTCGCCCCGATTATGTTTCAAGGTTTGTCAGCACCATACCCGTGCTCGTGGGTTTCACCGAAGTGGTAAACGTCTGAGACCTGCATCACTTCGGGCTTTCCTCCCACATTAAGCTGACACGCCGTGATATAACTGGAATACTGTTAAAAGAGGCGTTAAAACCAACTCACTCACTAGTCCTTTGGTCAAAGAATCCCTCCTTAAAATCATTTGTTTATCGGTACAGTTTGTGTCAAAACACCCCATGCTTGTCAACTGGGAATCCCCAACACCCCATGCTTGTCACCTGGGAATCCCCAACACCCCATGCTTGTCGTAGCCTGGGAATCCCCAACACCCCATGCTTGTCAACTGGGAATCCCCAACTCCCCATGCTTGTCAACTGGGAATCCCTAACACCATATGCTTGTCACCTGGGAATCCCCAACACCCCATGCTTGTCACCTGGGAATCCCCAATACCCCATGCTTGTCGTAGCCTGGGAATCCCCAACACCCTATGCTTGTCACCTGGGAATCCCCAACACCCCATGCTTGTCGTAGCCTGGGAATCCCCAACACCCCATGCTTGTCAACTGGGAATCCCCAACTCCCCATGCTTGTCAACTGGGAATCCCTAACACCATATGCTTGTCACCTGGGAATCCCCAACACCCCATGCTTGTCACCTGGGAATCCCCAATACCCCATGCTTGTCGTAGCCTGGGAATCCCCAACACCCCATGCTTGTCACCTGGGAATCCCTAACACCCTATGCTTGTCAACTGGGAATCCCTAACACCCTATGCTTGTCACCTGGGAATCCCCAACACCCTATGCTTGTCACCTGGGAATCCCCAACACGCCATGCTTGTCGTAGCCTGGGAATCCCCAACACCCCATGCTTGTCACCTGGGAATCCCCAACACCCCATGCTTGTCGTAGCCTGGGAATCCCCAACACCCCATGCTTGTCACCTGGGAATCCCCAACACCCCATGCTTGTCGTAGCCTGGGAATCCCAAACACCCTATGCTTGTCACCTGGGAATCCCCAACACCCTATGCTTGTCAACTGGGAATCCCCAACACCCTATGCTTGTCAACTGGGAATCCCCAACACCCTATGCTTGTAACCTGGGAATCCCCAACTCCCCATGCTTGTCAACTGGGAATCCCTAACACCCTATGCTTGTAACCTGGGAATCCCCAACACCCCATGCTTGTCACCTGGGAATCCCCAACACCCCATGCTTGTCGTAGCCTGGGAATCCCCAACACCCCATGCTTGTCGTCTGGGAATCCCCAACACCCCATGCTTGTCGTAGCCTGGGAATCCCCAACACCCCATACTTGTCACCTGGGAATCCCCAACACCCCATGCTTGTCGTAGCCTGGGAATCCCCAACACCCCATGCTTGTCACCTGGGAATCCCCAACACCCCATGCTTGTCGTAGCCTGGGAATCCCAAACACCCCATGCTTGTCACCTGGGAATCCCCAACACCCTATGCTTGTCACCTGGGAATCCCTAACACCCCATGCTTGTCAACTGGGAATCCCCAGCACCCCATGCTTGTCACCTGGGAATCCCTAACACCCTATGCTTGTCACCTTGGAATCCCCAACACCCCATGCTTGTCACCTGGGAATCCCCAACACCCTATGCTTGTCACCTGGGAATCCCCAACACCCTATGCTTGTCACCTGGGAATCCCCAACACCCTATGCTTGTCAACTGGGAATCCCTAACACCCCATGCTTGTCACCTGGGAATCCCAAACACCCTATGCTTGTCACCTGGGAATCCCCAACACCCCATGCTTGTCACCTGGGAATCCCCAACACCCTATGCTTGTCAACTGGGAATCCCTAACACCCTATGCTTGTCACCTGGGAATCCCTAACACCCCATGCTTGTCAACTGGGAATCCCCAGCACCCCATGCTTGTCGTAGACCGGGAATCTCAGTCGGGGCCCAGGTTCAAATTGGTCCCTAGCAACCATCAAAATGAATCGTGGCCAGGCTCGCTCACATCAATGCGTGTCATCGTACCACTGGTTTGTCCGGCCCAGACAGGATTATTAACAGACCGTGCCACGGGGTTATACAGCTGAGAGTAAATCAACCAGTCTGACAGACAGAACCTACCTCGAAGGATGCCTTGATTCCGCCATTGTCCGCCATGTTTTCCCCAAGGGTCATCTTGCCATTCACCTGAAATGCAATTCCTATGTTAAACACAAGACAAATGGAGTCGTTTCTCTATAAAACTGCAAGACATAGGATCGTGAAGAGTAAAGCATTTGAGATAACTATAAACAATAGCATAGTGTTACAACATTTGTGAGGATTCATTTTGTTAAGGTGAGGTGAGGTGAGGTGAGGTGGTGGTGAGGTGAAATGGGGTTAAACGTCGCGTCCAAGATTATTGCACTTATATAGGAACGAGCTATGTGTGTGTGGCTGCTTGTACTTCTCTGGACTAATTTTATAGTGCTAGCACACTGAGGCCAATGATGTCGCAGATTAACATGAATACACCACTCAGACACAGTACACTCAGACTCCGAGCTGACCATTCCTTGTTTTAGCCCCTTAATGCCGAGCGCCATCTTTTAACGTCTTTTGGTAGGACGCAGCCGGGGATCGAACCCGGGACCTTCCGCTCTCCGGGCGGACGCTCTACCAGTAGACCACGGAGGAGGTCGATTTTGTTAAGACTCCCATTGTCATTGGGACTTGTCATTTGTAAGGTTCATAAGGGGCTGACAATGTATTATTTTGCGATGCAAAGGCAGTTGGGCGTGGCGTGGGGTGGGGCGGGGTGGGGTGGGGTGGGGTGGGGTGGGGTGGGGTGGCGTGGCATGCCGTGGCGCGGCGTGGCGTGGCGTGAGACAAAAGATAGCCAGTGCTTTAAAACACATACTCTTATTCTGAAACAGCAACACGCTTTCTTTTAGACCATTCAGCGTGTACAGTGAACGATTTAATTTGGGGAACAACTATTTTCCTTGTCCATACAAATGTGTTTATGTTGGAGCTTCCACATTTACAAGAAGTGAAGGAAATGCCAACTTTGGACACTTGTAAGTTAAGAGCAGTTCAATTTTGAGAAGGTTAAAGATGACTTCAAAAGTAAAGGATAGCTAAAGTCCCAAGAACAGTGAAGGTTAAGAATAGCTTTTAACTTTTGAGAATTTGTGAAGGCTAAGATCAGCTCTATTTGGAGAAATGTGAAGGTAAAGGAAAACTTGATTACCGAGACCAAGGTGGTTAAGGAAAGCTTACTTAATCTCCTCAGGTACTCACATGGTTTCCTCGGATACTCACATGATCTCCTCATGTACTCACATTATCTCCTCAGGTACTCACATTATCTCCTCAGGGACTCACATGATCTCCTCAGATACTCACATGATCTCCTCAAGTACTCACATGGTCTCCTCAGGTACTCACATGATCTTCCTTAATGGAGAAGCTGGAATACTGGTCCACCAAGCACTTGGCTAAATTGGTGAACTTGGCCAAAGAGGAGTTGGTCCACCATTGATGGAAGTTCCCCACCATGTCGTACTGGCGACCTGCATACAAAGGGAGTGCGTGAGTTGGGTCAATAGTCACTTGCAGTTATCTTCACGTCTGGCAGCTTGATATGGGGGGAAACCCGAAGTGATTCAGGTCTCTCGCGTTTACCACTTTGGTGAAACCCACAAGCACGGTTAATAATAACAATAAGTGCATTTATAATGTGCCAGATTCCATTCACCAAGTGGATGCTCATAACGCTACACTATTATTACCCCGGTCAATGGATCAGTGAGCACTCGATTTTCATTCTCAGCTCCTTGGGGAGTATACAACCCAAGCTGCCTGTGAGGCGCTAGAAGGTTAACAGCCACCATCTGATCCTACCGGGTACCCACTCACTGCTGGGTGAACAGAGGCACATTTCGAACAAAGTCACTTGCCTAAGGAGACACCACATGTGGTACATGTGCTTTAGTGTGGGGCAGGACCGAAGCCCTAGAAACTCTCAGGAGTCAAGCTTCTGAACGTGGTCACCCATCAACTACTCTCCGAGACCGGCGTTGCTTAACTTCACCTGATTTGTGATCTGTGCGCTGTGCACAGGACCACGTGCTGACAGACCTAGAAACATAATTGCCCATCAGGGATTCGAACCCACAAACATAGGCCCAATCATTCTGGCACGCCTATGGGACGCAACTCTGCACAACAATTTGCGGCACCTTGAGCGTCTGGCCACCCGTGTCGCCACCAGCAAACAGAGGCATTGACTGTGTCCTGGGACCTGCACCTTGTACAGGGGCGATTGCTTATGAAAACATATTTCATATTTGGCTCGTTTTTCGATAACGACCTCGGTGAAGATACTGTTTTAGAAATGGTTTTCAGCAACCCATGCTTGTGGTTAGAGGCGATTAACGGGATGGGATCGTGTGGTAAGGCTCGCTGACGTGGTTGATGCAGTCATCGTATCCCAATTGTGAAGATCGATGCTCATGATATCAATCACTGCATTGTCTGGTCCAGACTCGATTGTTTACAGACCGCCATGATATAGCTGGAATATTGCCGAGCATGGCGTTAAACAACAAACAAACAAACCGAGATTTGTTAATCTAAACAGTTGATAGTCCGCACGATTTCGTTCATCTTCCCGAGGCAAACGTGATACTGATGATCTATATTGAGTGTAACATTCATGACATTTATTTTACACACAATTGTTTACTCAAGTTACACATTCTGAGAATTTAAAAATATGAACTTTTTGTCATAAAAGTGGGTCCACCGTCTACAGTACCTTCGTCATCAAAGCCGTGCGTGATTTCATGACCAATGACCATTCCTATTCCGCCGAAAATAAGGGACCTGGAACAGAAACATTTCACTGGCTGTCATAAGAAACACTTCAATTGGTGTTATAGAAAACGTTTCCGTGGCTGTCATAAGAAACAGTTCAATGGGTGTCAGTAAGAGGCGACTAACGGGATCGAATGGTCAAGCTCGCTGACTTGGTTGATACATGTCATCGATCCTAATTGCGTGGATCGATGCTCATGATATCAACCTCTAGATTGTCTGGTTCAGACTTGATTATTTACAGACCACCGTCATATAGCTGGAATATTGCTGAGTGCGGCGTTAAACAACAAACCAACCAACCAACCGTGACAGTTTATAAACCGCACGTTTGCATTCATCTTCCCGAGGCAAGCGTGCCCACTAGCCTATATTAAAGCATAGTTTTAACCCTTGCCACACCAGGGCCACGTTTCTTGGCTCGACCCTGGCGCCACCTCGCGTAGATAACGAGTTGTGCCCCTTGAAATGGAAACGCGATATCCAATGAGATCGTATAGCTTCACAAATATGGCGACTACCATAGGCGACGACCTAGTCGATCAGATAACGAAAACATCCGCGATTTAATCCCTGAAACAAAGACATAGGCAACCGTTGGGGGATTAAAAGATGAAAAATACATATCCGTGTCAACAAGGACAGGCACTGGTAAATCACTGTCATACGAAGGTGTACCAGTCATGGATGTAGATTTTGTGAGCGGTTCTCTGATTGGACTATCCATATATGCGATTGTCCAATCAGATTTAGTGATGCTTGAAAGTGGGCTTGATGTGGCAAGGGTGGAAACAAGACTTTGATAAAAAGGCTAGTCGACGCTCTTTTTTCTTTTTTTTACATTTTTTATTTATTTTTCCATTTCATGTATATTGTTACAAGTGTAGGTATTAATATATGACAGTATTAACACAAGTTATAGTTTCCATAGGTGAGGACAGGCAGGTTGTGTAGGATATGTCGTCTTCTCAAACTGAGGGAGATTATAAATATTTGTTTACAAGAAATAGATGATTACTAATTAACAGGTAGTATGTTTCAACTGCTTCGTTAGATTATGAGATGTAAGTTTTGCCATTTCTGAGCATATTGGTTAAATTGATTATTTTGTTTAGCGATAAAACTTTCCAAACAAATTGTGTCTTTTAGTAGTGAAAGAAATTGCTCGAAAGATAAATCTTGTTGTTTTATGTTTGATATGTAGATGAATCTTTTTGCTAATATAATAATATGATTTGTTACATGGTTTTGAGTGGAAATACCAAAAAAGATATTAAGTTTCGAAAGGATAAAATTTGTTTGCAGGTTGTTATTTAGTCGACGCTCTTGCCTCGAGATGGGACATTGGGTGTTGATAGTTTCGTTGAGAACGACTTTGTCCAGATTAGCGAGGTCTCACTGTACATACAACGTTGAGTGAGGAGACGTTCAAGCACCAGTTCGGACTTTATATAGTAGGTCATATAGTGCAAACTGACCTACCACGCCACAGGTTAACATAGATTAACATAGACATAGATTAAAAGTCCCGTTTCCACCCTTGTCGAACTAGGCTGGTATTATGGAGTTACATTTTGGCTGGACTAACGAGTCTATGCATAGTCCAATCAAAATCGCGCACCGAAATTGAAATCCGATTCGTAAACTGTCGGATCAGATCGTCCTGACCGGGCGCCACCATTTTGTGTGAAGCAAACGCAAGTGATACGAGAGGTGGAATCTGATTGGTCCATAGGAGAGGCTTAGAAGGGACATAACTGGTAATAGCCACTGGTGGCGCTACGATCGAGCCCAGTAATTCCAGCCTAGTTCGGCAAGGGTGGAAACTGGACTTTTAAAGTCAGTTAACTCTTTTGCCTCGGGAAGATGGGGTTAACAGAAGTGGTAAACGTCTGAGACCTGCATCACTTCGGGCTTTCCTGACACGCCGCGATGTAACTGGAATATTGTTAAAAGCGGCGTTAAGCCCCAACTCACTCACTCACCCTTAGTGCCAAGTGAGTTTGGTTTTACGCCGCTTTTAGCAATATTTCAGCAATAGCACGGCGAGGGACACCAGAAATGGGCTTCACACATTGTACCCATGTGGGGAATCGAACCCGGGGCTTCGGCGTGACGAGCGGACGCTTTAACCACTAGGCTTCCCCACTGCCCCCATATTGCAGAGCGCCAGGCAGGGTAAGAACAAGTACCACATTTTAACGTCTCTGGTACGAGGACAGGGGATCGAACCGCCGACCTCCACCTCCCTGGCAGAAAGAGGCGGTCCACACAGCGTACTTACATGGGGTATTCCTTGCTGTAGAATGGAGGCTGCAGTATAGCCGCGGGGAATGCTGGAGGGACAGACGTAATGCATGTTTGAAGGTCACGTGGTAACACCAAAGGAAGACAGTGACTTAAAGTCCAGAATTTAAGCCTGATGGATATTTTCAACTTGGACAACGTGACAATTCAAGAATATCTTTATCTGGTCTCAAGGGATGTCAGACTAACTGTGAACTCATCTTAGCGTTAATCATTAATTCATGGATAATCCTAGCCTTGATTTACATATAATCCTCGCCTGGATTCATCAATAACCCTAGCCTTATAATCCTAGGCTTAATTTACCAATACTCTTAATCTTAAATAAATAACAAATAACGGCGAGAAACAATATTCACTCACCCATCTATGTTCCTGAAGAGGAAATTACGGCATCATATTTTATATTTGTGAACTATTATTTTACAATGCATGAATTAAAAAGAAACATAATTTCTGAGGCCAATGACGAAGTTCTACGTACTGATGGAGTTTCTGTTGGGGCTGTAGAAGGCGTTAACAATGGCGGGGGTTGTCGTCCACCTAAAACAAACGCCATCACGTTTATTCATCGACAGAAACAAATCGACAAAAAAATCAAATAAAAATCCGTTCCAGGATTTGTTCTACTCAATTATTTCCCAAGATGAAACACAATTCATGTTAAGCTTTGTATGCCACAAATACTAAAATAAATTAATGTGTTGAAACATTGAAATCTTTTGTTTTCCTTAAAAACTAGCTTCTGAATATTAATATGTACTGGTAACACATAACGAAGTGAACACCGTCTGCGTGTGACCCGACTCCGAGCGGCACTGATGGCCCAGAGCTCTAAGGCGCCGCAAATCGCTATGCAGGGTTGCGTCCCTTAGTTGTGAGAGTATCCGCTTATCGAGCGCTGCGCTTTCACATGAAAAAAGTAGATATCAAAACTGACGTGCCGGGAGGGCAAGGACAGTTCAGTCATGTAAGGCACCGCAATTAGCTGTGCAGTGTTAGCCGTGGCAGAAACCCATGATCGTGGGTTCCAAATTCGGTTCGCCCTGATAATATTTTTGGGTTTGTCATCGCGTCTAAGACCTTCAGAACTTCGGTCTTTCCTCCCAAAGGTAGCTGATACGCCGACATAATGACATATAGCCGACATACTGTTGAAATCGGCGTTAAACACAACTCACTCACTCACTCATTATCTCATTCTCCTCAACTCTCACAAGCTCGCTACCGTGAAGATCCGGTTAGATAATAGGTCTTCCGCAGCCCATGCCTGTTTAATGGGATCGGCTGGCTGACTGGTTGATGCATGTCATCGTATCCCAGTTGCGTGGATCGATGTTCATGATGTCAGCCACGATTGTAAGGCCCAGACTGGATTATTTACAGACCGCCGCCATAAAGCTGGAATATTGCTGAGTGCGGCGTTAAACAACGAACAATCAAATCACAAGCACTGACTGACTGACTCACACTCACGCGCTCGATCATAACTGGTCACCGCTCCAGATGACGACAGAATCTTAACCCCGTTTATTAGCTCGTACAGATCAGCTTGACTGGGGTCCTGTCTAGATGATAACTACCAATCTCATTTAAATCAGATCTTAGTTCTCGCTACCGCTAAACAAAGATCTGAGGACATCCCATTAGGGGTCACGTCAGAACGATCTTTCATCCGACCAATCAGAGCGTCGCTTACCAGATCATGAAAGTGCCAGTCGGAATGTGATTCCCGATCATGCAGCCACGAAAACTTTAACACGGGGTATTCCGAACGATAGTTACGGGCTTTACGACTGAATCCATACAAGCTAGACCTTCTATTAGCCATCCCAGAATGTTCTTCTTATCAGTTTTAATTTTTGTAATCGAGAAGAAGTCAAAATATGTTTCGAAGCGTCGTCGCCAGTTGAAACTAGTGTCGTAAAGCTCGAGAAAGCTGCCTTCTGATTGGCTAATGTCGATTTCTTGTCAGTCATTTCATTGGTCGGTCAAAACTCGCGAAAGGTCGTTCTGACGTGACCCGTAATGGGATGTCCTCAGATCTTTGTTTAGCGGCAGCGAAAACTAAGATCTGATTTTAATGAGATTGGATAACTACAAGCTTAGCTACATAAACCCGAATGCGGAGTAGTCTCCCTTACTCTTCCCTGTCCACCAGGCGGCGCAGATACCAGGCGTTGTCTCTGACGCGGTCCTTCATTAGCGTCAGAACATTCTCAAAATACGTCGTCTCGTTGAAATCCACCTGAATACACCAAAGGAAAACAAAATGTATTTTTTTTATTTGCTCTTAGAACAAAATGCAGGAAAACAAAATGTATTTTTTTTATTTGCTCATAGAAACAAACGTTCAATAAGATGGATACTACTGATATAAATATTTCGTACAATTTTCAATAATAGAGTTTGAAAAAGACCAATTAAGAAAAATAAATCTTCCCGTCTTTAGGGTTAGAACAATATGCGCAGATGTAACTGTTTTGAACACCTTAAAAAGTAACATCCTAATCAGTTTAAGTTTTGCATTTAAGTTTTGGGGACCGACCACAATATATTCAGGGGATGAATTATGATACAAATTATTTTTTTTAATTTCCGGAAAATACATGAAAATTATAAAAACTTGAAAACAAAATAAATCAATTACATATTTTGTTTCTGACAAATGAATCCTCAGACGAAGTGAGAATGTTAGACAGGGTAGTGCAGGGATGAATCTCGACCCAGAAGCCGATATTTGGCCTTAGGTCTGCAGTAAATATCAGAAACAGTTCTCAAATAATGTTATTATTATTATAATCAATGTTACGGCTTGGTGCGATGACTTGTATTTCACTGACCCCATGGTCAATAGAAAGTGGATGTGGTATATTGCATCGAATGCCGTGTTAAAATACTTTGGACTTTAAGAAATAACAACTGTGAAATAAATCCAGAGTGTGAACAAAGTAACCTTTTAAAGCCCTGGTTGTCCCAAAATGATTTCGCGGACCCTGACTACAGCGTTGTCACAACAGTACCATACTCAACGTCCCGTGAACATCCGGGTTAAAATTGATCCCCAGCAACCCATGCTTGTCGTAAGAGGCGACTAACGGGATCGGGTGGTCAGGCTCGCTGCCTTGGTTGATGCATGTCATCGTATCCCAACTGCGTAGATAGATGCTTTTTATGTCAATCACTGGATTGTCTGGTTCAGACTTCATTATTTACAGACCGCCGTCATATAGCTGGAATATTCCTGAGCGTGGCGTTAAACAACAAGCAAACAAAAAAATCATAGCAACACACAAAAAGTAAGTTTCTTACATCCCCATACTCATCGTTGAGAATGGTGTCATTCAGCATGTTGTCAGGGTAACCGATCTCCTCCAATATTGCCTCGGCCTGGAACAGAAAAAATGTTTATCATTCTAAGGAGCTGTGCATCACGATAAGGCAGGTTGATAGCGGTGGCAATAACTTGCCGGCGTGCTCTGTCCACGCAATTCCCATGAATACGTTGTGTTTAAAAGGGAATAATTCCTTGCAGTTTAGGCAGAGTTGCGTCCCTTGGCTGTGCCAGAAACATATGATCGTGGTTTCAAATCCAGGTTCGCCGGTTTCTTTGAACCATACCCGTGTTTGTGGATTTCACGTCTACCCCCCATCACGTCGGTCTTCGGTCCCACATGGGTTGGAATCCCGGTTCATCCCGATTATGTTTCTAGGTTTGTCAGCACCATACCCGTGCTCGTGGGTTTCACCGAAGTGGTAAACGTCAGAGACCTGCATCACTTCGGGCTTTCCTCCCACATTAAGCTGACACGCCGCGATATAACTGGAATACTGTTAAAAGCGGCGTTAAACCCAACTCGCTCACTCAATCACTCACTTCGGTCCCACAAGAAGACGGCACACCGTGATATAACTGTCCAGCTCACCAGGGGTGCAACTAGACTAATTCTAACCGCAAGCAAATCTTATCATGTGAACCCGCTAGTTAAAGGTTTTTTTAAATTAGAGGCCCTTAAACGCAATTTCCTGCATTTTAGGACAATTTATGTTAGATTTTATTAGCTACGAATAATGGTAATTTTTTATTATATTTTTTATTAGTAATATTTATACATTTTGGACTTTCTTGCAAGAAACATCTAGGATGTCAAATGAAATTTGAACATTAAACGAATCGATAATATTACTTTTATGTGTTTTCTTATGTTCATTGGTAGTATGTAATGTTGTTGTTTTTTAAAATCATATTTTAACGCGAACCGACCTATCAGTATAATGAAACTAATTGTGTGAGCGCGGTTTTCTTTCGTCACAAACCATCTACCACTAAAACCAAAAGTGCGTAAAGATTCCGATTTTCAAGTTGGACAATAAATATCACGTTCGACCGTGTAGAGTTTGAGGTTTACTTCTTTTAAAAAAATTGCTTTTTTAGGTGTAAACAATAATTGTGCTTTCTTTCGGTGTAAGCAATTGCTTTTTTGCTACAGCGGTAGTTTCACCCTGTTCACTCACTCATTATCTCAGATATACCTTATGAAGGGCGTATTTCCGGGTCTGCTCATCCATCCAGGTCGCCTTCCGCAGTAGGTTCTCGAAGGAGTCCCTCAGGTAGCGGATCATCGTGACAGCCTGCAAGGACAATTAGGCCGGTGACAGCTTGGTAAGACTACAGTAAACTACGGTTATAACGAACACGCTTATAACGAACTGACCGATATAACGAACTTATTTTTAGTCCCGCCCTTTGGTTGTATATATGGTGTATATATGCTTATAACGAACTACGGTTATAACGAACTAAAATTAGTGGTCCCTTTGAGTTCGTTATAACCGTAGTTTACTGTATATACTTGTACCAAACGTGTCCCTTTATCAACAGTATTACACATATTTTATGAGCGCTTCATACGATATAACCAAAATTTCGATATCTTTCGAGTGGTATGTTTTCTAATATTGTGAGAAAACAGAGTGTATACAGCAGTTTTATCATGGCGTGTCATGATGATGGTAGCAAAAAGGTTTTTGCATTACAGAAAGGGCTGGGCGGAGGGGGGAAAATATGGTTCAGGGACTGTGGGACAGACTAACTTTTAGGTCTGAATATCGGCCTCTGAGCTTTATAAGTCCATTCAAGAATTAGAAAAAAAATTTTTTTTAGAGTTTAAAGGTCAAAATTTGAACAGCACGCCACACCAAATTCTACGCAATGATCCCTTACATTTTGCTTGGCTTTCCTGTCAAAGTAGTTGTCGATGAAGAGTCTGCCCACGGCGTCGCCCATGTTGTTGTTGACGTAGTCCACGCACATCCTCCATTTTGGCGGCATGCGTTTGGTTCCGAATATGACCTGGACGGAGCACGGGATTTAATAGTGAGTGAGTGATTTAACGTTTAACGTCGCATCGGCATTATATAACGACGGGAGCGTGTTATACATTCATGAAAAAACGTATACAATAAAAAAAATTGCAATATAAAAAAAATCGTACATTAAAAGTAAACCATGAACCACATGAGCTACAATAAAAGCATGTCTTTAAACACATATTCATAATTTAAAATACACCAATTTTTTTTAAAATATTTCAAAATCAAATATTCATTAACATGGGTAAACAATTCTATCAGGCTTGCTGCCTTGTAATACGAATCCCCAGCGATTGCAAAGTCCACGCAGTCAAGCCAAATATGCTAGATTTAATAAAGTGCCACCGTAGAGGGATGTGCAGCGAGTTGATCCATGGTCGAAGGACATACAAGCCCGTATAGTACTGACGATGAGTGAGTATGGTTTTACGCCGCTTTTTTTGTGCAATATTCCAGTAATATCACGGCGGGGGACAGCAGAAATGGGCTTCACATATAGTACCCATGTCGGGAATTGAAGCGGGGTCTTCGGCGTGACGAGCGAAGCCTTAACCACTTGACTACCCCACCGCCCCTATTGAATAAGAAACTCTGTATGCTTTAAAAACCGAGTATATTTATAATGCGCCAGATTCCAAACACTAGTATATCGTGACGTCTCTGGAATACTGTTCAAAGCGGCGTTCAATCCAACTCACTCACTCGCACCTCAACAAACTCACACACTCACACACTCACACCCCACACTTGTCGTAAAAGGCGACTACGCTTGTCGTAAGAGGCGACTAACGGGATCGGGTGGTCAGTCTCGCTGACTTGGTTGATGAATGTCATCGATCCCAATTGCATGGATCGATGCCCATGTTGTTAATCACTGGATTGTCTGGTCCAGACTCGATTATCTACAGACCGCCGCCACATAGCTTGAATATTGGTGTGTGCGGCGTTAAACAACAAACAAACAAACACACACTCACACACTAGTATGCTCAAATCACTACACCATTATTACCCCGGTCAATGGATCAGTGTGCTCTCGAATGTCATTCTCAGCTCCCCGGGGAGTATATTTTGTGTTATGAGGTTGTACAATGGTATGATATCCTCCGATATATATCAGCACTATTCGTCTCGGCTTGGAGTGAATCTACCAGCCTCTCCCCACAGCTGTTACCATCAGACCTAAGTCTGGATCCTGTCAACAACATCATCCAGTATTTATGTCATATAGTATTGCTTATTTTACTGTCCTTTGCCATCATTTTTTATGGCTGAAATACTGCACTTAAATTTAACTTCCGTTGGTGATTTACCGAGCGCTTCCAACGGTTCTGATTTCACTCCCGAAAGACAAGGGAAGTCCGTACAGCCTTACGTCCGTCCTACACAACACTCCCACGGGAACTCGTTATTGGTCAGTTAATAAAAATGTATACCCCTATACTGACCAATAACGAGTTCCTGTGAACCCTCCCCACCGCCCCCGAAACCTTTAAAAAATAGATGCTCTTAAACGCCATTTCTTGCATTTTTGGACTGTTTATGTTAGATTTTATTTGCAACAAATAATGGTAGGCTTTTATTATATATATTTTTTTAGTAATTTATACACATTTTGGACTTTTATTCAAGAAACATCTAGGATGTCAAATGAAATTTGAACATTAAAACGAATCGAAAATATTACTTTTTTGTTTTTACATCTTCATTCGTTGTATGTGATGGTTATTTATTTATTTATTTTCATATTTGAACGCGAGCCGACCTATCATTATGATGAAACTAATTGTGCGAGCAAACCATCTACCACTAAAATCCTAAAGCGCGTAAAGATTCCGATTTTCAAGTTTGACAATAAATATCATGTTCGACCGTGTAGAGTTTCAGGTTTACTTAAATAAAATAAAAAATATTTTTTAGGTTTAAACAAAAATTATGCTTTCTTTCGGGGTAAGCAATTGCTTTACTGCTGCAATAGTAGTTTCGCCCCTGCCCCCTGTCTCCCACAGGGTGACCCCTGGGAAGCGTGACGTCAGTAAGTGTATCTGTAGTCTACTCGTACCTTGTTGTAGTCTCGCTGGATGTCACGGATCCGCTCGTCCAAGTTGTTCACACGATTCATCATGATACGCCACATCAGGTAATTGACCACTGTTCTGTGGGCGACATTGGGGGGTCAGTTTACAAGAGAAGATCATATTAACACGCTGATACAGACACACTGCGGGGATCTGTCTCGCTCTGCCCAGAGGCCGATATTCAGCCCCTAATTAGTCTCTCAGTCCCTGAACCATATTATTTTCCTTCGGCTCCGCCATTAAAATAATGCAAAAGTCAAAATGAAGCAAGTCTAGATTTAACCCAGGTTCTGAATCTCCCATTTCACATAAGCTTCTTTAATTGGAGTTATTTGTTTCTGTCAAAGTAATATATTTTCAGAGACTAAGTTTTAGTCCAGCCCTAAATCTGCAGCAAATAAATGTCAGTAAAAATACCAAATTGGAATTACACATTTCCCAATTCAAGCTGCAGTAATGGCACCATCTTCAGCATAATGTATACAGTTATAACTAATGTTATGGTTTTGTAGAAGTGAAATTCGCTCAAAATAACGGGTTTTTTCAAAATTTCCTGCCAAGAGGACTGAATAAATCTCTGCTTAGAGAGGCGTCATGCTGGTCGAATCGTAGTGGTAATAATCTCTCATTGCAAAACTGAAACAATTAAGGATTATTTGAGTGAGTGAGTGAGTTAAGATTTAACGTCACATTGGCAATATTTCAGCCATATCGTGATGAAGAATTATTTGAACTAGTTCGGGGGTTGGGTTCAGTGAGGTTTTGAATAGTTATGTTATATAGTGTTTGAGGTTTAAGAGTGAGTGAGTGAATTTCAGTTACATCATGACGTGTCCGCCAAAGCCCGAATTATAGATAGTGAGTGAGTGAGTATGGTTTTACGCCGCTTTTAGCAATATTCCAGCAATATCACGGCGGGGGACACCAGAAATAGGCTTCACACATTGTACCCATATCGGGAATCGAACCCGGGTCTTCGGCGTGACGAGCGAACGCTTTAACCACTAGGCTACCCGACCGCCCCCCCGAATTAAAAGTATTGGCGCATGTCTAAGAAGTGTATACCACATCGGCGAAACAAAAGAGCCCATGTAAGGTGATGATAAACGAAGTCACAATCGAATCAGGGATTCTGACACACGGCCAGTGTATCCTGCTACTGGTAAGGGATGCAACTCCATAAAGCATTTTTCCTGAGGGCAATTCATCAATTCGTGGTTATAATTCAACTGTGATAATAAGTGCAATCAAACTTACTTGGAAGGGGTTTTCTTGATGACTTGAAGCATGTTCTTGATATAGTCAGGCGTGTACACCACGACCTGCTCGGAGGCTGTGATGGTCTGGTTGAATGGCTCGAATACGCCCTTGAGATACCCTAGCCAGTCAAACTGAATACAAACAGACAAGCGTGAGTGAGTGTTTTGTTTTGTTTGTTTGTTGTTTAACGCCGCACTCTGCAATATCCGAGCTATATGACGTCGATCTGTAAATAATCAAGTCTGGACCAGACAATCCAGTGATTGACATCATGAGCATCGATGATTGGGATACGATGACATGCTTCAACAAAGTCAGCGAGCCTGACCACCCGATACCGTTAGTCTCCTCTTACAAGCATAGTCGCCTTTTACGGCAAGCATGGGTTGCTGAAGACATATTCTACCCCGGATCTTCACGGGTCTGAGTGAGTGAGTGAGTGAGTGAGCATGGTTTTACGCCACATTTAGCAACATCACGGAGGCAGAAACCCGAAATGGGCTTCACACATTGGACTTGAGCCGGGCATACGCTGTGACCACTTGGCTACCCAAATGCCTCAGTAATGTTTGAGTGATAGGACTGCTGAAGTTCCGAATATGACAACCAGGTTTGGTTGAGATATCCATCCTCTGATATCCATACATTACTTCTCTGATATCCATACATTACTTCTCTGATATCAATACAGTACTCTAGTATCAATTCATTACTTCTCTGATATCCATGCATTACTTCTCTGTTATCCATACATTACTTCTCTGATATCCATATATTACTTCTCTGATATCCGTACAGTACTTGTCTGGTCTTACCCCGGGAATGGAGGCTGTCAGTTCACTGACACTCATGCGGTGGTAGAGTTTGTCCATGTTTCTTCTCTCAGCTTGGGCCACAGTCAGCTGGAACACAGCAGGATGAGTGAAGGGCGAGCAACACCTGAGATTTGCTACTGGGGTGAACGCCACGACGTTAAACAAGGCTCACTATCAAGGTGAATAGTTTCTACCTATTCAGTCAATATAACCCATATAAATATATTACCTCAACGCCAGAGAACAATCAGACTCGATTATCCGCCGAAACACATTCCATTGGACTTAAAGGGCAAAATAGCAGTCCAAAAATATGTAAATGGATCACTGAAAATCAGTGATGACACCAGGGCCAACTTGCACAAAGCGATCTTAGCGCTACGACTATTGTAAGCCTATGTTAAAGTATGGGAGTTAAGATCATCTTAGCGCTAAGATCGCTTTGTGCAAGTGGGCCCAGGTGTTCGCGAAAACATGCTGGTTTATTTTAGCCCTTGGACGTAACTTTACCATAACCGTGGCGCTATGGTTGCCGTGTGGAAAGACACCTGGTTCGTGAGAACCATTAAAGCAATCTTTGTTTACGAAGTACGTTTATGTTAAAATAATTAAATTTTCGTTGTGTTCATGGAAATTCCTGCATTCTGATTAGCTGAATTGGTCACGTGTTATTGCATTCATTTCCCAATGAATGTAAAAAATTAAGCCACGCCCACCGCGGCGCACTACTTTTATTACTGCGGAATGTCGGGGAATCCCAATATTACAGTCGAGGGAATTCCCTTTCTGCTCACGTATATCGTCATGCACAGGACATTTAGCGACTTTCATGCATATTCATTTTCCAAACAACCGTTTGAAACCGAAAACGAATGAAACAGCAAACGTGCAGGCTCTCTCGACTGTTTTTTCCCCGCTCGTCTCGGTTCAACTTTCATGTCTTCGGGTTTCATGTCTAACTAGCATTTCTCTAACTGAGTTTTACCGTAATCAGGGAAGTAATGTTTGAATCACGCAGTAAATGACCATGTTATTTGAAACAGCCGCCTTCTCTCGGTCGACATATTTTTTCCGGTTCGTTACAGTCTGACTGTTGCAGTTCTTTTTGCCTCTTGCCTTAATTGACAGGTCTAATGAACATTGTTTTAATCCCACTCTCCGTTGATTGGCTACTGACTGTGTAGGCGTGTCAAGTTATGTGCATAAATTAAACGATCACCTGATACATGTCACGCCACTGTATATATTCCTACACCTGGAATGTTTATCAATGTCGTCATTTTTGTCTGTTTTGATATATGCAACTGTTTTGGGTTAAACTATTGTAGATAAAACATGTTTAACGTTGTCGAATTTAATTATAAGCATTGACTGTATATTTTTTTCGGTTCATTGAGGTATGAATCGAAAAACCGATGTGCAAACTTTTGTAAGAATCCGCTACGCAGATTCATACAGTTTGCACATCGGTTTTTTTATTCATACCTCAATGAACCGAAAAAAATACACAGTCAATCCTTAAATAATTAAATTTCCGTTGTGTTCATTGATATTCCTGAATTTTGATTAGTTGAATTGGTCACGTGTTATTGCATTCATTTCCCAATGAATGTAAAAGCTTAAGCCACGCCCACTGAGGCGGACTACTTTTATTACTACGGAATGTCGGGAAATCCCAAAATTACACTCGAGGGAATTCCCTTTTTTATTGAAGAGTATCGACAGTCATGCACAGGACACTTAGCGAAATTCGTGCATATTCATTGTCTAAACAACCCTTTGGGACCGAAGGCCGAGAAGGAATGAAACAGCAAACGTGCAGGCTCGCTCGCCTGTTTTTTCCCGCTCGGCTCGGTTCCACAACTTTTATGTCTTCGGGTTTCATTTCTAGCATTTTTTTTAACTGGGTTTTCCCGTTCTCAGGGAACTTATGTTTGAATCTGTCGGTAACTGACCATGTCATTTGAAACAACCGCCTTCTCCCGGACATATTTGTTCCGGTTCGTTATTTTTTTTATACAGTCTGACTGTTGCACTTCTTCTTGCCTCTTGCCTTGATTGACAGAACATTGTTTTGATCCTACTCTCCGTTGATTGGCTACTGACTATGTAGGCGTGTCAAGTTATGTGCATAAATTTAACAATCACCTGATTCATGTCACGCCACAGTATGTATTCCTACACCTGGAATAGTTATCAATGTCGTCATTTTTGTCTTCTTTGATATATACACCTGTTTGTGGTTAAACTATTGTAGATAAAACATGTTTTACGTTGTCGATTTTAATTATAAGCATTGACTGTTTGCACATCGATTTTTCGATTCATACCTCAATGAACCGAAAAAACACACACAATCAATCCTTAAATAAATAAATTCCAAGTGATTCCATGTCATTATATAAGCTAACCAAGTAATACTTCTCGTTTCCGTTTCATTTCCATAAACCTGAAGAGGTTAGGCCACGCCCACCAGCGGGCCACGTTCGTTGGCTGTGTTTCATTATTGCTTTGCATGATGTCACTGATTCTGTACCTTTGACTTTAGATTTTTGTTTAAATGGTTCAATAAGAGCTGACTTCAAAAGTTTTTGTTCATATATGGAGATATTGACGTACAAAACGGTGTGCACACTTTGCGTAAACAAGGGGATATGAAATACTGAAGTCCATTCTTAATTATGAAATATTACTCAAAAGATTATTAATTTTCTTTCACATTATTACTGTGAATGTGTCCATAACGTCTTTCGAGTAGTTGTAAATGTGGTACGACAACCGAGGAATGACTAACGAATCAATTTTATGAATAAAATACTACTCAAAAGAACCACCTGATTCTTTCATGTAATTTAATTGTTCTTAACTTCTTTAGGTAGTGAATATGAATTACGAAAATCCTAGCTGCGGTCTTGCTATAGCGACCTGGATTTTATGAATAAAATACTACTCAAAAGAAATAAATAACCACCCGATTCTTTCATGTAATTTAATTGTTCTTAACTTCTTTAGGTAGTGAATACGAATTATGAAAATCCTAGCTGCGGTCTTGCTATGGCGAGCTGGCTATGTTACTTACATTGGCAATGGTGATTTCAAAGTCCACCATATCTTTCATCTGTTGTTCAGCCTGTGTCCGATCAGCGCCAAACAGGACGGCGACCTCTGTCGCCAGGTTCTGGTACACCATGATGTGGTTGTCGCCTCGCGGCTTGAGGTAGTAGTCACGTGACGGCATGCCAAGCTGGGCCTGGTCAATCTAGGGATAGAGAGTGAGTGAGTGAGTGTTTTATGACGGTGCAACCAAATTGTAAAGCGCGTGCTTATTTTTTTATTCGTTGGTATTCGGATACATGTTTTTCCAAAATTTGGCAGATGGTTAGAAACTTCAAATTGTTTTTGGAAAAAAAGGATCCGTGGGATGAGAAATATATCTTTCTCTTCACATTGTCTATATTCCATTTGGCATCTTTATAAAACGTGACGTGAATATGAAAATGATGAAAGAATTTACATGAACACAAACGGCTAGGGGTATCGGTGAATCTATGAATGATCTTTGCGCATTTGAAAGTTTAATTATTTCGTTTTTCAGCAAAATACCAAAATCTTTAGAAAAAAGGTCTTAGTGCGAAGACGACCGTTAATCACATCTTAAACACTGATTTACGACAATCGCAGAGCTAAGATTGCTTTCTGGTAAAGGGTGCAGGAAAGCCTGTCTCAAAGTCCCTGAACCATAATATTTTCCCCTCTGCCCAACCCTTACTGTAATTCCATAGTGAAGCAAGTCTAGATTTTCCACAACTTCTGAATCTCCCTTCTCACTGGGATTCTTTATCAATTTAAACAGAGTTGTTTGTTTCTTTCAAAATTATATATTTTCAGAGACAAAGCCTCAGTCAAGGCACGGGATAATAAAATCTTACCACTATGATATGGACAGAGGAGTTTTTGTCGTCGGGGGAGACGCCAGTGTCGATGAGGACCATGTTGTTGTAGAGGCCGAGTTTCACCAGGAGGTCAACAAGGTTAAACTTGGACTCGTCCCACCCACCCGTCACCGGCCACCCGCCAAGCTCCTGCAGCAGTGGTTCCGTCACGTGAAGTCCCCGCTTGGTGATCACATCTGCAACAGGTCACCGTGGCATATCAACACATGGCATCAATGAGGGACCGCCTCCGTGGTCTAGTGGTAGAGCGTCCGCCGTCCGCGTCATACCAAAAGACGTTAAAAGATGGTATTATTGTTACCCTGTCTGGCGCTAGACACTAAGGGGCTAACACACACACACACACACACACACACACACACACACACACACACACACACACACACACACACACACACACAATAAATAAATAAATAAATAAATAAATAAATAAATAAATAAATAAATAAATAAATAACCCGATCCATTTTGTGGAATCTTACGACCAGCACAGGTAGCTGGGGAGCATTTCGAGCCGGAATCCCCACGGGGGACCCATTGGAGTTGTCTCTTGTCAATAGGGTGCCGGGGACATGTTCTATCCTGGGGTCCCAGTGGGGAGTTCCGAAAGCTACGTTTAATGTTGTCCGACCGCAACGGAAAAATGGCCACTGCAAGTCTAATTGCTCAGAAACCCGTGTAGATCCGTGTTAGAATTGATCTTCAGAATCTGACTTGGATGATACAATCGTGTCATCGTATCCCAATTGCGTGGATCAATGCTCATGATATCAATCACTGGATTGTCTGGTCCAGGCTCGATTATTTACAGACCGCCGTCATATAGCTGGAATATTACTGAGCGCGGCGTTAAACAACAAACAAACAAACAAACTTGCTTCTATATAAGGATATAAGTTGTACGATTGTTCTCATCTGGGTAGCCTATGCCATGGGACCAATATGAGTGTCCATATCAAATACCCAGACCGCTGGTGTACTGTCGGGCAATGTCAGCTCGTCAACACAACGTAGCTCTCCAATTCCCTCATTTTGGTGTGAGTGAGTTGTGTTTAACGCCGCTTTTAACAGAATTCCACTTATATCACGGCGTGTCAGCTTAACGTGGGAGGAAAGCCCGAAGTGATGCAGGCCTCAGACGTTTACCACTTCGGTGAAACCCACGAGCACGGGTATGGTGCTGACAAACGAGTCTCTATTATCCACCAAAGCAAGATTCCATTTAGCGTAAATGTCAAAATACCAGTGAAACACACGTGTAGGTTTAACATGCATGACTTGGGAATGAATGAACTGGGTTTTACGCCGTTGTTTGCAATATTTGCACATCAAGCCTAGGACAGCAGGAACCGATACGCTGTGTCCCTTTTGAACTTGAACTAAAACGCTTGTGATTTATCAGTAAAGACCGCCATCTCTCCACGTCCCGGCCCCCGAGGATTACTCCGGTAAATTGACATGGGCATACGGCTAGATGATGGCAAGTTTATCGGAATCGGTTAAGAATAAAATCGCACGGAGACGACAAATAATTTATAGGTGGATTTGATAAAAAGGACTCCATCAATATCTAGGCATTTAAGGCAGAATCAAACTAGTTGGATTTTGAACTATAAACAATTTGTAATTGTATTCTCAATCCTTCGATTTTACTTAATGTGCTTTTTAAGAAGAAAGATTAGGTTTGTTTAAGGCCGTGGGATTTGAGGGGAAGGGTTAGTCGAGGTGGTCACATTCGAAATTGATTTAGGGGGGTAGTTATCTTCCCTCTCATCAGTTGAATATGGAAATTTGCTTAAAAGTGTAACAGGAATAGTTTGTGTTCACCTTCATTGGTGCAGGACTTGTACATGACCTTGACCTTTCGAACAGCTTCGATGTCCGTGGAAGTGATTGGTTTCTCCAACTCAACTGAAAGAATACAGAGCATGACTTTCTGAGTGAGTCGCAAGTTGCGCAAATGTTCATATTTGTAATTTGGGGAGTGAGTGAGCGAGTTGGGTTCAACGCTGCAATAAAGAGTATTTCATCTACGAGCCAAGGCGTGTCAGGTCTTTGACCGTTTCGCTTTTGTAAAACCCATGATTAGGGGCATGGTGCTTACAAACCAAAGAAACATTATCGGATCCAATCGAGTATTCGAACCAGCGATCATAGGATCCTGGAACGCCTAAGGGACGCAACTCTGCACATGAAAATACGGCGCATAAACGACTTGACCTCATGAAAAACACAATCTCATTAAAATCAGACCTCAGTTCTCGCTACCGCTAAACAAAGATCTGAGGACATCCCATTAGGGGTCACGTCAGAATGACCTTTCATCCGACCAATCAGAGCGTCGCTTACCAGATTATGAAAGTGACAGTCAGAATGCAGCCTCGAAAACTTTAACTCCGAATGATAAATACGGGTTTAACGACTGAATCCATACAATCTAGACCATCTATTAGCCATTCCAGAATGTTCGTTTGTTCAGGTTTCAAATTTGTAATCGAGAATTTGTCAAAATATGTTTCGAAGCGTAGTCGCCAATTTGAAATTAGTGCCGTAAAGCACGAGAAAGCTGCCTTCTGATTGGTCATTCCATTGGTCGATCAAAGTTCGCGCAAGGTCGGTCTGACGTGACCCGTAATGGGATGCCCTCAGATCTTTGTTTGGCGGTAGCGAGAACTAAGATCTGATTTTAATGAGATTGTGAAAAACCTCACTAGCAGCCTATGCCCGATTACACAGTAGGTTTATCCATCGTCAAGGTCACGGTTAAGGGAGTGCCACCACCTTTCAGTTTGAGCTGGACGCTGTCTCGAACCTCCGTGAACCTCTGGTAGGCCGACTTGTCGTCCGGGATAGTTCGACTCCGCATCCAGTTCCCGCAGGCAAACTCATAGAAGTTGTCACAGGGATCAACGGTGAAGTCTATCGCATTTATTAGACTGGCAGCTGAAAGGTGCGAACACGACAATGAGTCAAACAAATCAAACAAATCAAACAATTCCTAAATCAAACCCTTACATTCAATGTTGTTTCGTTGTTGTCTCATTAAAAAGGACTTTCATTGTTCCAAATTGATTGATTGAATGATTGATTGATTAATTGATTGATTGGTTGGTTGATTGGTTGGTTGGTTGGTTGGTTGATTGATTGATTGGTTGGTTGGTTGGTTGGTTGGTTGATTATTTTCATCGTTTTTGCGCATTTTGACAATTCATTCGTAACCACACACCAAGTGATCAGCTTTCAGCTTACAAATATTTGAAAATTAAACCCAAAATTAAACAGTTAAAACTGTCGCCACATTCAGGTCCTGGGAAGAACGGAACTGAATGACGGGTCAGATTACTCTTGCAGTTCGCAAGCACATCAGTCTGTGTTATCACAATGTTTCCCGCTGTCTGTGTAGCTCACCTTCCCTGACGCAATCTTTCGAAGTACATGCTGCTCCTGAAAGACAAAATGAGTGAGTGAGTGAGTTGGGTTTAACGCCGCTTTTAACAGAATTCTAGTTATATCACGGCGTGTCAGCTTAATGTGGGAGGAAAAGCCCGAAGTGATGCAGGTCTTAGACGTTTACCACTTTGGTGAAACCCACGACCACGGGTATGGTGCTGACAAACCTAGAAACATAATCGGGGCGAACCGGGATTCGAACCCACAATCATAGGTTTCTGGCGTGCCGAAGGGACGCAACTCTGCACAGCGAATCGCGGCGCCTTAGACGACTGGGCCACCCGTGCCACCCCTTATAAATGAAGACAAGTAAATAAAAGTGAATGTGGTTTAATGCTGTTTTTAAAACAGTTTTTTCAGTTGTATCACGGCAGGTCAGCTATATGGGAGAGTCAGGTATCTGCCGCATCAGCAAGGTAGTTGGTGAAGTTGACGTTGATGTTACTGTAGTAGAAGTAGCTGCTGTGACCAGGTAATGACGTTAGTATATGTATGTAGTAATAGTTTTACGGAAGAAATACACTCTAATATGACCAGCAGAAGCAGCAGCAGCTGTAGCCGTAGTAGTTGTGGCAGCAAATGTCGTTGTTAAAGAGGACGCAATTATTGTAGCTGTAGATGTAGTTGCAGCAGTTTAGATATAGTAGTAGTAGTAGTAGTAACAGCAGCAGCTGTATGTGCAGTAGTAGTAGTTGTTAATAGTAATCAGCAGTGTTAGACGTAGTAGCTGTAGTAATAGCTGGAGTAGCTGTAGTAGAAGATGTCGTAGAGGAAGGTGAAGCAAGTACTGTAGTTATAGAGTGTAGCAGTAGTGTTAGACGCAGTAGCTGTAGTAGTAGTAGTAGTAGTAGTAGTAGTAGTAGTAGTAGTAGTAGAAGATGTCGTAGTGGAAGAGTGAGTGAGTGAGTGAGTTGGGTTTAACGCCGCTTTTAACTGTATTCCAGTTATATCGCGGCGTGCCAGCTTAATGTGGGAGGAAAGCCCGAAGTGACGCAGGTCTTAGACGTTTACCACTTTGGTGAAACCCACGAGTACGGGTACGGTGCTGACAAACCTAGAAACATAATCAGGGCGAACCGGGATTCGAACCCACAATCATAGGTTTCTGGCGTGCCCAAGGGACGCAACTCTGCACAGCGAATCGCGGCGCCTTAGACGACTGGGCCACCCGTGCCCAGTCGTGGAAGATGTTTCAAGTATTGTAATTGTCGTTGTAGATGATGTAGCAGCAGTGTTAGACGTAGGAGATGTAGTAGAAGATGTCGTAGTGGAAGATGAAGCAACACCAAACGACAGTATACTTTTTTTTAATGTGAATCGGTTTTAATTCTTTGGCTTAAGAAATCAGAAATCAGGTTAAAAACGATTGCCAAAACATACCTAACAATCATCTTTATCATACTAGATGTGGTACGTGCAGTAGAAGCACATATATAATGTGTAGTAGTAGTAGTAGTAGTAGTAGTAGTAGTAGTAGTGGTGGTGGTGCCGGTATCAGTAGTAGTGGTAGTAGTAGCAGTAGTGGTAGTAGTAGTAGTAGTAGTAGTAGTAGTAGTAGTAGTAGTAGTGGTGGTGGTGCCGGTATCAGTAGCAGTGGTAGTAGTAGCAGTAGTGGTAGTAGTAGTAGTGGTGGTGGTGGTGCCGGTATCAGTAGTAGTGGTAGTTGTAGTAGTAGTAGTAGTAGTAGTAGTAGTGGTGGTGATGCCGGTATCAGTAGTAGTGGTAGTAGTAGCAGTAGTGGTAGGAGGAGCACTAGTGAAAGTGATAGTGGTAGTAGTAGTAGTAGTAGTAGTAGTAGTAGCAGCAGCAGCAGCAGCAGCAGTAGTAGTAGTAGTAGTAGCAGCAGCAGCAGCAGTAGTAGTAGTAGTAGTAGTAGTAGTAGTAGTAGTAGTAGGGAAGCAGCATTTTTAATAGCAGCGCTTAGGCGACTGAGCGACTGGCCAAGATGCCGTAGCAGCACAGGAAGATGTAGTAAGTGTAGTAGAGGATGTTGTTGGCGCATGTAGTAGGACATGTAGTGACAAGTGTAGTAAGAGAATGATTTTCGGAAGCCGCATTTAGCGTTCTAACAATTTCACCAAAGCTTCCTTTTTGCAATCGGAGCTAACCAGTGGTTGATAGCTTGAGTAACAATCCACGTGATGGAGCACGATTACACACAGTTAACCAGGTCACACATTGTGACACATTGTGACCACCAGCCGGTCAGCTCTCACGACAACCGTGAGGAGATTGGGACATGTTCCGCCCTAGGGGGAAGTGGGTAGCAGAAGTATGGGGAAATATATAAGTGGCTGTGAAATATTTCAAACATGTTGCAAGAAGCACAATTTAAGAGCGTATTCTCCATTTTGACCACTCTCACGTCCCAGTGGACCTCTTCTGTCTCAGGGGACAAGAAGGTGTAAAAGTCTAGAACTATCTAACAGCTGCAGAATGTTTCAACAAATACGAAGAAGCGGAAGAGCGCATGATTCCACTTTGACCACCCGATACCCAGTCTAGTCGTCTCTTACGTCAAGCGTGAGGTACCGCCGACCTGTTCTGTTCCATGGGATTGGTAGGTGTAAAAGAAATATCTCACAGGTGTAGAATGTTTCAAACAATATCATTAAAATCAGATATTAGTCCTCGCTACCGCTAAACAAACATTTGAGGACATCCCATTACATGTCACGTCAGAACTACCTTTCGCTAACTTTGAACTACCAATGAAAGAACTAACAAGAAGTCGCAATTAGCCAATCAGAACGCAGCTTTCTTGAGTTTTACGGCACTAGTTTCAAACTGTCAATTTCCATTCCATACTACGCTTTGAAAAATATTTTGACAAAGTTCTTAATTCAAAATTTGAAAACTAAACAACGAACATTCTGGATGTCTTATAGACGGCCTAGATTGTGTGGCAGTAGTTTCCACGGGCGATGCAAAGTCTCTTCCGTTAAAACGTGTATTCCATTGAAGCCACAGACAGACGATGACTTTGACGGAATCAGTCGTACAGTCCGCGACTGTCGTTTGGAATACCCCGTGTAATCTTTTCGAGGTTACATGATTAGAAAACACATTCCGACTGTCACTTTCGTGATATGGTATGCGACCTCTCATTGGTCGGATGAAAGGTCGTTCTGGGATGTCCTCAGATCTTTGTGTGGCTGTATATTGGAAGAAGCGCAATAGCGTATACTTTATTTTGACCACCCGATCCCCAATCTAGTCGGCTCTACGACAACCGTGAGGTGCTTAGGACATGCTCCGTCCCACGGGGTTATTGGGTTGTAGAAATATGTAGATGTAACGGCTGTAAAATATTTCAAACATGTTGCAAGAAGCGCAATAGCGTATACTGCATAGTAGTCGGCGATGTTGCTAGCCAACTCACGTCCACCCGATGTCGCTGGTGTGCCTGTACTTTGCGGGGCTGGTGCTGAAATGTAGTCAACGTTGCGTTTGTAATTATTTTGAGCGATGCCTATCCACTACCTTCTTTCTACCAGTGACTCATTAATCCGGAAATGTGTTTATCCGGACAGTTTCCGTCCCGATTACCAGGGTTTCACTGTATCTAACTTACTTGGTCTGGGGGAAACTTGTGTTTGGGGCCCCTGTCCCTGGTTCTGTGCGGTGCCCTGGCCATTCGGAGACACGCTGCTTGGAGACCCAGAGGCTGAAAACACATCAGTGAGTGAGTGAGCTTTGAACGGTATTTCAGGTATATAACACAAGTGACGCTGGTCATAGACGTTGACCAATTAGGTGAAACACACAGGAACTGGTGTGTTGTTGACATATACTGAACCACAGACTTCTTATAAGCAACTCCGAGTCATTCTGCTTCATCAAAATGACAAACTCAGTTCCATGGCTCCAATGTTTGTTTGTTTGATGACGCCACACTCAGCAATATTCCAGCTACATGACGACGGTAGATATATCAGTACTACAGTACCTGACAATTAAAGAATCGCATACAAACGCGACGCGGTCTGATTCATATTTCCTTTCGAACGGTACGGTTTCATGGGTCGCCATCTTTAAAGAAAAACTTTCTAAAACTGCTACCTTTGTAATTTCCGATTAGGGCTGGAGTACTTGTTTTAAATCGATCCTAAAAAGCAGTTTTTTCAGGAAATTGATTCAAGGAGAATAGGTATATAGTTCCTTCAAGTATAATATCATTTGCAACATTGGATACCCGTGAGTGAGTGATTTGGTTTTAGCGCCACTTTCAACAGTTTTCAAGTTATATCACAATGTCTTGATTTCGGAGGAAAGCCTGAAGTGATGCAGGTCTCAGACGTTTACCACTTTAGTGAAACCAACGAGCACGGGTATGGTGCTAACAAACCTAGAAACATAATCGGGGCAAACCGGGATTCGAACCAACAACGATAGATCTATTGCGTGACCAAGGGACGCAACTCTGCACAGCGAATTGCGGCGCCTTAGACAGGGCGCCCTTGTCCCGGTGATCTAACTTTAGTAATACAATTTGCGTTTTTCTGAAATGCATTTTAAAGAATAGCATTGTCCTGCTGAAGTAGTCCGCTGCAGGAAGTGACTTTTGCGCATGCGCGTCGTGGGGTGGGTAGGGTGTTGGGTAATGAGTAGGACAGAGGCGAAGCTTATCTGGTTCACGGCTCTTTTTGCGTTTCGCCTGCTTCCGATATGAAGAGACGGAGCCGACCTTGAGGTGGCGATGTGTACTCACAGCAGTCCGACGTTGTCTTCATCTCTAGTTTGACAACAAGGCCGATGATGAGGGTGAAGGTGCAGATGGCGAGGAAGACGGAGAAACACAGCATCACCTTCTCCCGTCCCGTCATCTTTTGTGAACTTTTGTAGGATACACTTAAATGCAGAAGACGCTCTAGTGAGTAGATGAATGCAGTATTCCCACATCCGGCCCCCGTTTAATATCAGTCTAAATGCCATTACATTGTTTCATCCAAAGTTTCTAGATTGAATACAAAAGCGGGGGGTTTTTCGTGGGGTCCGCCATCTTGTTTTCCGAAATCCATATCCGAGTTTCACTTTGATGTGGAACCCTGTTTCAGTGTTCAAGTTCGATTAAATATATCAGACGTATATGTAGGTAATTGATGAAGGAAATGATTTTAAGATTTGCATCCAAGTCTTGAAGTGCGCTGTAAATCAAACAGAGCATTGGCAGACTTTTCTAACGGGGCGACCCGTAGCCCCCAGTAACGACGGACAGAAAGACTGACGTTAAACAAGGAACGAAACAGGAGATACGTTGCTTTAAATCCCATTATTTTATAATATGTCATTTGATCATGTGGGTTCGAACAGGCACTGTGCTGACAGATCAAGGTCCATAATCGGTGCCACGCTTGGATAAGAACCCGCAATCAGCGGATCCCGGCACGACCAAGGGACGCTACTCATCGCTGGAAATCGGCCATGTTTCAAGCGCTGTTTTTCTGTAATTCTTTTTAGCTCGTGTTTTGGTGGTGTTTGATCACGATTAATGAACCTTTTCAACTCCAACCGCTAATGTTTGCAATAATTTAGGATTGTGTTATTTATTCTGACAGTGCTGGCTGTTAAGTCCTCACAAGAGACTGGGGGCCTCAATCTTGGAGCCTAGGAACATGCACAGGTTGGCACACTTTCATGTCTTCAGAGAGTGATTATGGTTTTACGCCGCTTTTTGCAATATTCCAGCAATATCACGGCGGGGGACACCAGAAATGGGCTCCCACGTTGTACCCATGTGTGGAATAGAACCCAAGTGTTGGGTGTGACGAGCGAACGCTTTAACCATTAGACTACCCCATTGCCCTTCATATGGTTTATCGCAGATGAGTCAGTGAGTGTGGTTTAACGCCGCTTTTAACAGTATTCCAGTCATATCACAGCGTGTCAGCTTAATGTGGGAGGAAAGCCCGAAGTCATACAGGTCTCAGACGTTCACCACTTCGGTGAAACCCATGAGCACGGGTATGGTGCTGACAAACCTAGAAACATAATCGGGGCGAACCGGGATTCGAACCCTCAATCATAGGTTTCTGGCGTGCCCAAGGGACGCAACTCTGCACAGCGCGTTGTGCCCCCTTATCGCAGATTAAATTAGTGCAGCATGTGACACAATAACACGTGTTTACCACATCTCCACAACTACACTTTGGGATTATTTGTAAGTTTGTTGTCGGAAACCTTGCAACCAACCTGGGTACGACCCCGTTTCCCCCCTCCGCCAACCGGTAGGAGTTAGCTCCCTTTTCGTCCATCACCGCTGATTAGGTAAGGATGTCGAACCTGGAATAATAATAATAATAATAAAAATGCAAAATTCTTCATTTGAAACGTGGCAAGGTAGAAGAGGTGAGGATCAGTCAGTTTACTTGGAGGAGGAGGAGGAGTTATTGACCATCTTGTGGAACAAACTCCAGAATGCCCATATCAAGGGCAAACTCCGGGCAGAGTACAAATGTAGACTGAAGAAAATCTGGAGTTCAGAGCTGAACGCTGGCAATAAAGTCAACGCCACAAATACTTATGCTGTGCCCGTCCTTCCGTATTCTTTTTATGTTGTTGATTGGACGAAACAGGAAATTCAGGTTATTAACACCCTCACACAAAGAATCGTGTCAGACAATAGATCCCACCACCCTCGCTCTTCCCTCAATTGCTTATATTTACCAATTATGATGGGAGGGCGTGGTCTGATTAATGTGGAGGCTCTTCATGATAGAATTGTTTTGTGCACTTTTGCACACATTTATTTGTCTGATCATCCTCTTGTAAAGCATGTCAAGACTCATGATGAAAACAAGGCATTCCACAGTTTCCTAAAACGAGCCAAGGATGTGGGACTTAATCTCAATGTCGGTGTTGCTTTTGTTGATGTCTCTGTACTGCTGGATAGTACAGAAATGAGTGTCAACCAAGCGAAGTGCCATATCAAATCGGCCCAGACAAGTTTTTCAAGGAGAGGCTATCTGAACGACCACTGCATCGATTTTACGTGCAGTGTGTTGAGAAGATCAGCAATGTTGCAGAGTCCTTCACTTGGATGAAGTCGTCTGGCCTCAAAAGTAAAACAGAAGGCTTTCTGTTTGCTGCTCAGGACCAGTCACTTCCAACTCGAAACCGTCAATTTGTGATTTTGCATCAAAATGTGAATATGAAATGTAGATTATGTAATGAATTTAATGAGACTGTCCAACACATTGTGGAGGATGCACAGACACAGTATCTTAAGCGACATGATGGAGTTGCTCGATCCTTTTATTACCGTCTTCGCCATGTTTGTGTTGTTGGCACAGAGGTCCATCCATAGTATGACCCAGAATATGAAGAGAGCGTCAGGGAAAATGATAAATACAAAATCCTTTGGAATAGGCCCGTATACAGCCTCAAACATATCCAGGCCAAAAAACCTGATCTCATCCTTTTTGATAAATCCAATCAAATCATTTATATCATTGAATTTTCTGACCCCTTTGACACTAATGTGATTGACAAGATTGAGGAAAAACATGGCAAATATGCAGACATCGCTTTCGAAATGTCACGCTTGCATCCCAAGAACCAAGTTGTCCGACTCCCCATTGTTCTCGGTGCCTTAGGTTTGGTACCTCCCAATCTGTTGACTGACATTGGGAGAGTACCCAGGTTAGCTACCATGAATACAGCCCGTCTGACAATCTGAGTAACAGAAGACTGCAGTGTTTTGGAGTCTTCACATTCTCCGAAAAATTCTGGGTGGGTCGAAAGAGCCGACTAAAATGAGTGAGCGAGTATGGTTTTACGCCGCAATATTCCAGCACTCTCACGGCGAGAAATCGCTTCACACATTGTACCCCGAGGGGAATCGAACCCGGGTCTTCGGCGTGGCGAGAGAACCACATGGCTGATTGTGTGTCATCGTACCCCGCCCTACCAAACACCGGTTTGACTGAACCGGAATCAGTTGTCTATAATAAACTGCCGGTTAAAAAGAAAAAGTAACACCCATGTTTGATGGCTTTTGGAAACAATGATTCTTTATCGGCAATAATACAAGGTCTAATGTTATGTCCATATTATTGCGATGTCCAATAGTTAGATATCCTTCTTGCACACTCTACTGCCGGCCTAGCAGGACTTCGTCTGACTCGATCTTTGGTCAGGTGAGCTAAGTAACTGCTTTCAAAATATGCAAAACAATTCAAAGAAAATTAGTTTGTAGGCCCAATGAAACTGAAATGCCAAGTGTTATATCTAGCTGCGTATTCAAGATCTTTTCCAACATATATGGATTGAGAGAGACAGTTTGGTTTGGGCCAGAATGGTTGCGACTATTGATTACTACATACACAGCATTGGAATCTTTGCATCTACAAGTCAACATTATATGTGATTAAATTGGCAATACTTTGTTCATATCCGGATTCGAAAATATATTTACAGATATTTATTTTTATAATGATAGAGGAAATGCGACCTTATTTTAAACAATTTAGCGCAATCCGTTCAGAAACTGTGTTAGTGAAATCCATTTGTTCATCAGCCTACTTGTGACAATGTAATTCTCGGTGATGAGGTTCTGTTTAGGTGGTAATTAAATAGCAAAATGAAGTTTTTAAACTTCCATGAAAAACGTACAAATACATAAATCACTTACTAAGTAATGCTAAAACATTACGACACATACGGCGCTTACATAAGTGAGTGATTGATAAATTATCGTTTGGAAGAGTATTGTAAATATTTTGCAGGTGTTCAACCCATAAATGGCCCCTCCAATTAACTTTGGATGACAGCTCGCTTGTCACTGAGGAAGACGGAAGTGTGATATTTTGCGCACTGGCAAATACAGATGTGCTGATGTGTGGGTCAAGTTGATTGGTTAGATTTACGAGGCGCATTCGATTGGATTGACTGACCTAAACTGCTCACACGGGAATCAGGTCGACACATTACGGCACTTGTTCGTCAACGACGGCGTTCGCTGTACTCACAAAGTAGCAACGATCCCGTGCCATAGACTTACCCTGGTGTATTGTATGTGATGAACTGAAACTTGTTACGAGCGGTTAACACGAAAACAAAGTCATATTTTCAACCTGGAAATAGCAAAGGATCGTGCATCTCCGTGTTTCCTTGTACTAGTCAGGCCAACTCCGATACCATAGTGCTAGCCCTCTGAGATACCATGTCGCAGTTTAACAAGAATACCCAACTCAGACACAGTATACTCCGATCCGACTACTCCTTGTTTTAGCCCTTTAATGCCGCGAGCCAGTCAGGGTAACAATAAGAACCATCTTTTAACCTCTTTTGGTATGACGCAGGCCGGGGATCGAACCCGCTCTACCCAAGACCACGGGGGCGGTCCGACTCTAAGGGGACATTAGGGAAGAGGTGAAATGGGGTTCAAGGTCGCGTCCAAGATTATTGCACTTATATAGCGTCTATGTGTTTGTGTGGCTGCTTGTACTAGTCCGGGCTGATGCCGATTTATAGTGCTAGCACACTGAGATACCATGCCGCAGTTTAACATGAATACCCCACTCAGACACAGTATACTGACTCCGAGCCGACCAGTCCTTGTTTTAGCCCCTTAATGCCGAGCGCCAGACAGGATAACAACAAGTACAATCTTTTAGCGTCTTTTGGTATGACGCGGCTGGGGATCGAACCCCGGACCTTCCGCTCTCCGGGCGGACGCTCTACCATTAGACCACGGAGGCGGCCTCATCAATGAAGAGAATGAAGGGGTCAATGGAGCAGCTGTTGGACGCAAGGGGTCCAGTCTTCAAGGACCACCAGCACAAAGAAACCCTAAACCCTAACCGACCGTCAGCCTCTGCAATTAGGACTGAGATACGATTAGCCTCCCTAGCATTGTGTTCGAGCGAACTGGTGAAATATATGTCACAGTTTATGTACATTATACTCCAACAAAGTAATCGACATAAAGAACTCACAAATTTTCTCACGCGGCGAAGCGAGTGAAATGGACCTTTCCAAGGGAGACTATTCAAAACGAAGCTCGGCGTTGGCTATATTATCTGTATCGTATAGTCTTGGTTCGTCTCTTCAGTTCTAAAGCACAGTAAACTATGGTTATAACGAACTCAAAGGGACCACTAATTATAGTTCGTAATAACCGTTGTTCGTCATAAGCATATATACAGCAATTGACCAGGACTAAAAAATAAGTTCGTTACATCGGTCAGTTCGTATTAAGCGTGTTCGTTATAAGCGTAGTTTACTGTATAACGTTGTGGGTGTTTGTCTTGAGTTTAAAATACTCCACAGTCAGCTTTCCGTAACCTGCATTCGTCACCACTCGCCCATTTCCGTAACCTGCAAGAAGACTCGTCCCCTTATCGATGAGTGTTATGTGCGAAAATACGACAAACCAATCAGAATGCGCGTATGATTTCAAGTTCTTCGTCAAAGAATCCCTCAGAAATATTTTTGATTTTACATATGTCTTGCATCTAAAAATATACCCAAGACACAGTTAAATGTGTTCAATCATACTGTATAACATAGCATGTCCCGATGTGCTTTAAATTGCATCTGAAATATATATAATATGGGGAAAGATAAGTGAACCATTACGCAACGAGTTAACAATTGTTTTAGGTATGCCCGTTTGCGCTAAGACGGAACCCGGTCGCAAAAATGGCAATGAGAGGGGCACGACATTCGTGACCCAACTCGTGTTATTCCGGGACAAGCCGAATAGCGACTCGTGCCCCTCTCATGGCCATTTTTGCGACCGGGTTCCGTCTTAGCGCAGACGGGCATACCTAAAACAATTGTCAACTCGTTGCGTAATGGTTCACATTTATTTCCCCATATATTATATATATTTCAGATGCAATTTAAAGCCCATCGAGACATCTGCAATTATACAGTATGATTGAACACATTTAACTGTGTCTTGGGTATATTTTTAGATGCAAGACATATGTAAAATCAAAAATATTTCTGAGGGATTCTTTGACGAAGAACTTGAAATCATACGCGCATTCTGATTGGTTTGTCGTATTTTCGCACATAACATTCATCGATAGGGGGACGAGTCTTCTTCCAGGCTACGGAAAGGGGCGAGTGGTGACGAATGAGGGGAACGAGTCGCTATTCGGCTTGTCCCGGAATAACACGAGTTGGTCACGAATGCAGGGGAGAAGTGAAATGGGGAGTAACATCGCGTTCAAGATTATTTCACGTATAAAGCGGCGTGCATGGACATAGTATGTGGCTGCTTGAACTTGCCCGGACTAACGCCAGGTTTATAGTGCTAGCCCCTCAGATAC